GAGAGCTCAGTGCTACGTCACTCATTTCAGGAATGGCCTTCCGCTTGTGTAGCTACCTCACACAGGCCCTTGACCGCTCCCTGGGGCCAAGCTGTGGCCAGTGACTGACCAATGAATGCAAAGATTTATACAGGCTTCTTGGCTTTGGGCAAGTCAGCAATGAGCCCTATTCCCTGTGGGAAACAAGGCCTCTGTGTTGACTGCATTTCAGTTAAACTTGTCTATTTGTTCAATTCTATTGATACTGATCCCAAGGACCTACCCAAATCAGTGTCTCTGCTCAAAGTTACTTTCTCAACTGCGCTTTTTAAGGGAGCTGAGTGATGGCAGCTGGCCCCAGGCCTCTTCTGTGGAAGCTGGTGACAAAGGGAGATCATGGATCTGGAGAACCTGATGGCCAACTGGCAGTGAAGCCCCTGCCTCTGGGAACTAGACACTGACAGAAGCATGAGGAGAGACTGCTCTCCGAGAGAAGGATGAGGCATGTCCCTCGATGCCATTAAACATGACAACCCCTTGATCTGCCCAAACCCAGGGGAAAGCAGAGGTAGCCAGCAACCCCCCACCCCCGGCCAAAGCCCCAGGCTAACAGGCTCCAGACACTTCCGCCCTTCCATCCCCTCTGTGATGCTGTCCCACCAACCCTCCAGTCACCAGATCAATGACCACGGTGTTCTCAGCATGGCAAAGTGGAACATACTGGGCCTGCTGAGAGGGTAAAGTGCTGTAGCTCCCAGTCTTACAATCTGTTCATCTCTACCAGCAGGCGCTGCAGTAGGTCAGATTGAAATGAGAGTGAAGCCTCAAGGAAGACAAAGGTGAGCTTCATCATGACAAATCTTACTCGCCCAACGAGTTCCCTAAGAAATGCTGCTGGTACACTGCGGTGGCACCTCGCATCTAGGAGACACCACCAGCCTTCTCTGACTGAAGCAGAAGTCTTAGAAATTCCCAGAACAGTCATGGAAGAAAAGGTGAAAAAGTCCCAGAGAAATGAGCTTGTGAAAATCAATACACTATGGAAAACCAGAGGGCTTTAACATGGAGAATTGAAACAAATGTCAATCAAACATCCCAGAAAGCTTTGGAGACTCTGTTTGTCAAAGCAAGAAAGAACATCTTGCTGGGCCAACATCAGCATTGCAGGAAAGCCTGTGTGGCAGCTGCCCTCTAGAGCCCAGACTGACTGTCAGAAATGCCGATACAGAACTGTGCTCCTGAATATCAATGGAGAAGAATGGCTCCAGATACTAGAAGTCAAATGTCAAAGCGCAAGAGTTAGAATGAAGGTGGATGTACCGTCCTAGCCTCTCATCTAGAAGTCAATTTAGAAGTCAAAAATAAAAGAGAGATGATTATAAAATAGATCTCATTGGGATTCAAACTACATTTTAAAGGAATCCTGGAATCAAAAGAGGAATCATAATTCATAAGGGTAAATAGAAAATATTTCAAATAAAAATGCTAAAAACTATGTCGAAACATGGAGAACTTTTAAGTGTTATGTATTTAAAGGTTTAAAAAGGGAACATCAATAAAGTAGATATCTGTGTGAACAAACTAGAGTAATACCCCAAGTAAAACTAAAAGAAAATAAGGTTTATATGCAGAAAACAATAATTTTTTTTTATTTCAGCAAGGAAACACAAAAGCCAAAAGTTGATTCTTGGAAAGGATAAATAAACTTGTGACAATATTCATCCAGGAAGGGGAGGAGAAGCAGGATGAGGCAGAGTTAGTCCAAAATAAAAAAAAAAAAAACTGGGGACTTACACTTTTATGCCAATGCCAAAGTTTAAGTGAAGTGTGCATAGCCCTTCAAAAGACAGTCTAACAAAACCAACAAATAATTTTGATGAATTTATCTTCCTGTGAAGACTATTCCAGGCCCAGATAGCTTTCAACAGAAAGTTCAGCAAATATTTCCCAAAATATTTCAGATAATAGAAGACAAAAATTACTATTCAAGCCCAGAACTTGGATGCACTCTGACCCCTGAACTCAATTGAGCCTGTAAAACAAAATTACAGAACAAGCTGGTGTTTAAGCAAAAATTCAACCATCCTAAAAATATGGTATTCCAGATTTTCTAATGCATACCATATATGCACTAGATATATAGATGATAGATAGATAAACAGACAGATAGATAGATGCATCACACACTTTACGGACAAGATAGACTTATATCTGGAGTCAAGATTGGTTTAGCATTAAAAATCTAATTCATGTAGTTCACCACTTTAATAGAATAAGGAAACAAAATCCATATGAACAGAATAGAGAAAAAACAATCTGGTGAAATTCTATAATTATTTATGATGAAAAGTCACTTACAGGGAACCTTGAATAGAGTCTCCTTTGCTCTCCCAGTAGGAATCAGTGGAAAGCCCTGGATGCCCATCCCCCGCGGTGGTGGCAGCAGAACACCTCCTCCCCAGCTCATGTTCTACCCAGCACCGGTGCTTGGCCAGTGGGTACATGTATGGGGAAATAGCATTCCATTTTGTTGTTATTGTTAAGGATGTTATACAGAAGAGTTACCGTTTCATAAGTCAGGTGATGAGCACATTTCTTTATTTGAACAATGTCACCCCTTCCTGCACTTTCTCCCCAATCCCTCTGTTTCTTCCTCCTGTCCCTGCCTACAGCTATATAGTTCATTTTCCACATCAGTGCAGACTACACAGTGACTGCCTTTGCTCACCCTTCCCCCCTCTGTTTCTGCATACCCCTCTTTGCCACTCCTTTTACATCATACACCACAATCAAGACACCTAAAGGTGAAAGGCAAAATTAAAATTGGTTTGGAAGATAAGATCATATGATATCTCCATCCTTTGAAATGTCTCCATCCTTTGAAATGTCTCCATGACAATTTTAGGGGTAGGAAACAAACGTCTTCAACAAGACCAAAAATCAAGAGCTATAATGACAGAGGGGAAAACAGATGATGTCAAATTCTGGTAATAGCCAAGTCTTCATCCCAGCTCTCATCTAGTTCCAAGTTTCTTCTCATGCCCCATGCATCTTGAAGCGTGTTCTTTTGATCCAAGTTCCAAAGTGATCCATGCAATAGCTTGGATCTGAAATGTCCCCTGAAGACTTGTGTATAGTAGGCTGATCACCAGCCTTGGCACTGTGAGGAACACGGGAGCCTTTAGAAGCGGGGCCCAGTGGGAGGAAGTTAGGTCTTTGGGAGCATGCACTGAGAGGTGCAGCACAAGCTCCCACAGTTAGGTGGCACTCCAGGCCCAGAACCACGGGGCCAACCAAGGACTGAAACCATGAGCCCTAATAAACCTACTCTCTTTTAAAGCCGGGTACCTCAGCCATCTTGCCACAGTGACATAGAGCTGCCTGACGCATCCTTCTATTGTAATGTCAATGACACGAGTTTGAGTTCCCTTGTGGCAGGATTATTGATATTTTATTCTTGGAAATAGAGCAAACTGCGTGGCAGACAGATGCGCAGTAAATACATGGCGAATTGAAGGAATTGGACGGATGGACCTGATGGTGTGGCCTTTGTCTGCTAGTTAGGAGGAGCGTTCATAAGAGCCTGAGGTTATCTTCCTGCACGTGGCCCCGTGGAACACTTGGGAACTCCTTTCTACATGAAGTCAGAGGCCCGTGTACACACAAGCCAGGGCACGACTTGCAAACAGGACTGACTGCCTGGTGGCCAAACCTTTGTGTCGGAATGCTTCTGGCAAAAAACACAAGTGAAGCTTATAGGGAAGGGTGCTTTTCTGTTGCAGTTCTCCGGGCTTCCGTGGAAGAGGCTGAGCCAGACACCGTGCGCATCATCATTCTCCTGCGAGCACTGGGACACCGCCAGATTGTTGCATTTAATTGGGCAACAGCTGGTGATAATTTTCGGTGTATGGAGTGAGGGATTTATTGACTGATTCACTCTTTCCATCGTCTTTCATTATCTTTGTTTTTACCCTTTCCGCTTTTGTAACAGGCTATTCAGGAGTGAGAGGCTGAGGAGACAAGAATCCCGGCGGAGAAAGAATCTGAGATTTGCAGGCTGGACCACTCAAGGGGTTGTCTCGGGAAAGCTTTTGTCAGGATGACATGGATTTCTAAATGTTTCCGCTCAGAGGTACATCAGGAATTCAGTCATTCAATGTCACACACTTGGAGCTCTTCATCCAGGCACAGAGAGGTGCACAAGCTCACTGAGATCACCCAGCATGCTACTTGCTGAGGGTACACCTGCTCTAGGCTGACTCCTAGTTCTTTCCTTGGTATGGGGGTTTTTCTTAACTCCACTCCTCAGACTTCTAAACACCCTCTCCAAAAGAATAGGAAACCTAAGAGAAAATCAGAGCCATAAACAATGATGTTAAATTCTAAATTCTTCCACTCACCAATTCAGTGACCTGGGCAGAGGGGTCTGAAAACAACACAAAACACACACATCTCCTAGAACAGGAGTGAGCCTTTCCTCCTGAGATTCATTTAGCTCATTGTAAAGCATTAGCACAAGGTTGTCCTATTATTGGACGTGCTGGGGTAGAGCCCTTGGCATCGTTGATGCTTGATCCAGGAGACAGGAAAGGTCGGAGCTGAGGTCATCCTCCTCCAGGGCCATGGAACACCTTCACCGCAAAGGTCCCATCAGAGGGGCGGAAAGCATGGCTTCGACTCTCGACTCCCTCCTTCCTTCAGCATTGCCCCAAATTTTATTTCACTCCAAACTATCTTATGCACACTGGCAGGAGATGCACAGGTGGACGATAAGTAGGCATTGGGACAATAAAAGGAGATGGTATATAAAAATTTCAAAGCAGCAACCCTGTTCTGGTGTCCATAGGACAGGATGAGTTCTAGCCCTGGCCCCTGAGCTGTCATTCCCATTCAGCCCTGGCAGATTCCGGGGCTGCTGGGGCTGAGCAGGGAGCTGAGGCTGCCCCTGCAGCTCTGCCTGTACACAGCGGTGGTGGCAGGAGGTGGATGTGACAGGAGACCTCAATTCCCTACCTTGTCTTCCTCCACAGCTGCTAGCGAGTGGCATCGGCACACTGGCCCAGACAGTGGGAGATCTTTGCCTGTGCGACCAGCTGCTCAGCGCTGGGAGAATGTACAGAAACCACAGCAAACGTCCCAAGCCACAGCTGTTCCTGGCTGGGTCCTCTCCACCTGATTCTGTGGAAGGAAGAAGCCCTGGGTAGGAGCAGGGTGGGAGAAAAACAAGGAAAACTGCGATGAGAACGTACCCATCAGCCATCCAGGGAGAGTGGCCTGGGTCTGGCAAGAAGCCAGGGAAGTTCAGCAACCTGTATGTGATGAGAGGGAGAGCAGCCTTCCATGCATGCCCGCGGATGTTCTTAGAGAAAAGAAACCAAGACAGAAGTTTAGACAACAAAGGACTTGGAGCAATTGGTATTTTCTCTTATAGCTGATACAAATCTTCAACTGTATATATGCCCTTTCTGCTCTGATTGCAAGAATGCTCACATTTTAACAAGCAGTTCAATTCCATTCAGCGAACGGGCTTTCCTGGCACACTACTGCCTAACTCTCCCTCTAGTTTCAACACGCATGTTTTCTGTATTGGACCCTTCAGACTTTCTTGGGAAATCCATCTCTGCATTGCCATTGTATTTGGGTTGTGATCTTACAAGTGATATCAAAAGCTCTGGCAACAAAAATAAGGTAAAAATTCTATGTGAAGGCCAAAAGGATTTGAGATTTAAAAGAAAAAATACTTACAACTGGTACAAATGGAACTGCCCCCCCCCCCAGGGACCCAGGTGGGACTTTCAGGGAACTAAGTCACCTCTCATGTCCTGGCTGACACAGTAATGACAGAGGACCGAGCCTCTCACCTCCCTTGAGCCCAGTTGCTCAGCCTCCTTTTTACAAGGCGGAAAGGCATCACAGCTCATAGACAGAATCCCTACTGAATAGGAGAAGTAATTATTTGAAGTTGGTGGAGCTCATGTGCGCCTCCCAGGAAGAGGGCTGGAGTCGGGATGGGAGTTTGTGGCCAGAGGATGCTACCCTACAATTGAGACTCAGCGAGAAATGAGGCACCGCCGGCTCACCCAGGAGTAAATGGAGGGTCCAGGGATTCTGTTATTCAAATGAGGTAAGACTTGGCTTGGGAGTTGGCAATTGAAACGGGGAGAGAGGGGGGAAAAAATTGAGCTTCCGCTTGATTGAACTCAAAAGATCTGCAAGGAGCAGAAAGAGGGTTTTACCCTGACAGTGCAGGACAAAGCTAGCCACCAGCACAGAGTGCAGACCCCCCGGGGCCTTCCTGAGAGGAATCACACCCCCAGCCCCTTCACAGACATCGCAGATGCAAGGCAGGCAGCCTGGCTGCCCGATAACCGCTCTGGATACTATGACGAGTGGTGCAGCGGGGCAGGGGCAGGGCTGGATCAGAAGAGAAGGACATGTGTAATTAGGTTTCATTCCACTACCCAGTTGTGCACTGTGCAAATAACATTCCAGCACGGAGACATGGTTTGGCCATGAGTGCAGTTTACTCAGAACACGCATCACGCATCCACACCATGGAGTGCCCCTGGGGCTGGGAGAGCTGCAAATATCCCCGCGTCTTCACGTTGCTCGCCGTGGATCTATCAAGGATCCCATCTGGCTTGGTCTGTGGAACTGAACAAGAAATTGGTGACATTTTACTTCACAGCCACCTTAGGGCAAGACTTCTAGAATTTCTGCAATTGGCAAACTGGAGACCCATAAAGATCTGTTGCTATTTCCAGTCCCAAAATCAATGATCAATTTGCCAATCAAGAAGCAGGTATGTAAGTAAGAATGAATGTGTGCTTTCATGTGTATGTGTGTCCATGTATGCGTGTGCATGTGTGTATACGCATAACGTATGTATCTATATGTTTGATCCCTTTTGGAAATGGACTCTTGAGTGACCTTACCAGCCTTTCAACTCCTCAACATCCCACAGGGTCCCTCCACCATGGGTCTGAGGCTGGGAGAGGTGAAGATCTTTGACTGGAAGTCCCACCAATGGAGGAAGAAATGAAAGCCAGCTTTGGACAGCCTCACTCACTTCTGTGTTCCTATGATCAGTTTAGTCTTCAGGCCTGTAGACCCTCCAGCTCCCGCTGCTGCTCTGGTGGCCAGCTATGCTTCATGAGGACTGTGTAGCTGGTGATGCTGTATCTCTGGGGTCAGATCCATTTCCTAAGATATGGGAGACAGGGAGTAACAGTAAAGTTTTGGGTCACTCCAGATGGGCAGAAGTAGAATGCATAAAATATGATGAATTAGAATTGGGACTCACGAACTGGAGACCATTGGGTTGGCAAATGTGGTTAGCCAATGCCAATGCCATATTGTACTTAACAATGGCCAGTTCAGACCAGCTCTGAGCTCTGTAAGTCCCATCTACACCCTCTTCCTTCTATCCAATTCCCCTTTTCTGGAATCCTGGATTTGAAGGTATTTGAGTTCTGCCCTTGATTAATTTCATATTAATTTCTTTGTGATTATTTTATGGCATACTTAATACGATTAGAACAATATGCTTCAGATCAGAAGAGTGCTTGTCTGGGTGAAACAGGATAGTGTTCACCTATACAAAAGTAGTTTGCAAAAGTCAGGCCGGGTACAATTGCCTGCCATGATTTTGTTTACACCATACACTCAAACCACAATCAAGAGAGCTGGTTTTAAAGCAAACAGAATATCGCCCCGTAGGAACCATGGGAAGGAAATGTTAGCTCTTTCATTTCTCAGTCCTGCAGCAACAGCTCAGGGCTGGGTTCTTGGTGTTTGAATGAGAGTCCCTGAGTCAGGACTACCCCTGCCAGGTTGATGCTGCGGGGACCAGGCCCCTGTGGCTCCCATGGCCCTGTGGACAGGCTCTCGCCAAGGCAAGTCTGACCGCACCCGTTGAGTCTTTGCTCCGTGTCAGCTCTCATCCTCAGGAATAAGCGTCGTCCCTCACACGTGTGCTCTGCTCCGAGTGCACCACGCACCACAAGGCCTTCGTGCCTCCATGTGGTCCCCTCTCCCAAAGTCTGGGTAGCACTTCCTTACTTTCTCTGACAGAGATCAACATGGCAGAAGTGATGGAATGAAAGAGGGAGTCGAAGACCAGTCCCTGAACATGGAAGTCATCTCAATTTATAGAAGAGATGGTGTCTTCCATCTTGGATACTAGCACTGTCCATTCTCTCTTCCTCTCTCTCCTTCTCCTTACTGAGGAGAAGCAAGCTACCATGCTGTGAGAAGCGTTGTAAACAGGCACATGAGTGAAGATACTGTTCTCTCTCTCTCTCTCCCTCCCCTCTTTCTCTTTCATCAATAACCAAAAAGAACCCAACCAAGCAGCAAGAGTGAGCTTGTTCTTGAGATGTCCGTGGCCCCATGAGAGACCCCGAGCCTTGAAGGCCTAAGTCATTCCAATGGCCAGCATGAGTCATTCCCAGTAAGTGTTTGCTGTTTTCCAACATGACCCATCAGAGTGATTGGTTACATAGCCATAGACAATTTCTGCAGATTCAGCAATGGGTAACACTGACGTAACAGGTTGTCCAGCTTTAAAGTGTAGAAATGTGTCTCACATTGGGGCACTCGAATTTGATGAGTGGCTCAGCAGTGCTCCTGTTCTGCAGGCCCCCACCAGCTCAGGGTATTACCCTCTGGGATGGCGGGGCTTGTCCCAGCCTTACTGCCAGAGATAAGATCCAGAGAGTAGCCTTTATCCTGTTTTTAGACTGTGTATGGCACCGTTGGGGTACCTCTGCACACAGCTCACACTGAGGGCTGACACTGCACAGTTCCAATGGGCCTGGTCTGCTTACATGGCCCCAGGTCCATGCATGCTCACAGGCTGATTCTAAGCCGCATGGGCCAGAACCATGGCCTCCATGTAACTGATCACCCTGAAGGAAGATGCATAACAATGAAGCTAGAAGCAGTGAGACCAGATGGAGCCATCTTGACTTCCACGACTCTGAACAGTCCCTAGAGAACTGGGCCTTGCCGCCCTCTCTGATCATGCAGGCAAATTCTCCCAGCAGGTCTTCTGCTGTGAAAAGGTAGGACTGGCAAAGACAGTCCTTTCCTAAATCTGCTAAATCCACTCAGCAGGCAGCAAGGAGAGAAAACTCAGGTGACGTTGCAGAACGATCTAAGTAGCACTTGAATATAGCATATATCACTTCTACCCAAACACCATCGTTTGCCCCTAAAGCAGCCAGGGAAAATGAATTTTTGTCTATTTGTGTAGCCTACAAGGAAAGAAGTGTAAGTAGTCGTGAGCATCTGCTTTCTCTATCAAAGAAGAAAATTTTCTACTTGTTGTTTCATTGAATATATATATCCATATACATATATGGATATACATGTGTGTGTGTGTATATGTTCGTGTGTATGTAGAGGTGTGTGTCTGTCTGTGTATAATTTACCCCTGTGACTGGAATGCACTCAATTATCTTTGAGAAGGAAGGAAGGAAAAGGAAGGATTGAAGGAGAGGCATGTGTTTTGATCAGAGTGAAGTTGAGTTTTCAACTGTAAATGACTCAAGTCACAATATGATTTGAGTGACTGTTCCTACAAAGTTTCTTTAACAAATAATGAAAATCTAGCTCATGGATTGGGAGAAGATCTTCACTAGCCATACAACGGACAAGGGTCTCATATCTAAAATATACTTGGAACTCAAAAAATTAAATCCCCCTACAACAAATCTTTAAAGAAACAACTGCCCAATAAATAAGTGAGTGAAAGACTTAAAGAGAAACTTCTCTGAAAAAGAAAGAAGGATGGCCAATAGACACATGAAGAAATGCTCAACCTCTCTAGCCATAAAAGAAATGCAAATCAAAACAACATTGAGATACCACCTCACCCCAGGTAGAATGGCTATAACCAAGAACTCTAATAACAACAGATGCTGGAGGGGATGTGGACAGAAGGGAACCTTACTGCATTGTTGGTGGGAGTGTAAACTTGTTCAATCACTTTGGAAAGCAGTATGGAGGTTCCTCAAAGACTCTACATAGAGCTCCCCTATGACCAAGCAATCCCACTTTTGGGCATTTACCCAAATGATCTCAAACAAGACCACACTAAAGCTACCAGCACGACTATGTTTATTGCAGCCTTATTAACCATAGCTAAGATATGGAACCAACCCAGATGCCCCTCAGTAGATGAATGGATCAAGAAAATGTGGTATATATACACAATGGAATTCTATGCCTCCATCAGAAAGAATGACATTGTCCCATTTGTTAGGAAATGGAAAGACTTGGAAAAAATTATATTAAGTGAAGTAAGCCAAGCCCAAAGAAACATAGGTCCCATGGTTTCCCTTATTTGCAATAACTAGTATATGTCTGAGTCAAGCAGAAAAGGTCAGTTAAGTTGATGTTAGGGAAATGAACCCTAGGATATGTATTCAAATGTTTTTTTTTTTCATGCGATTGTTTCTAACACATTTATAAGATGATTTGTTTGTTGCTTTGTATGTCCCTCCCCACGGTATAACCCCTGCTTTTACTGTATTTGATGTTGTTATAATTTGTGGAGGGGAAGGGAAAAAACAAATCGTTTAAATAGGGATACAGGTGGACCCATTGCAACAATGAGATGTACAAGTTGTTACCTGATGTACAAGTCATTATGTCGAAAACGAACTTTACAACTTTGGTAGAGGGGGAGGAGGGTTGGGTGGGGGCGTGGGGGGAGGATGGGATGAGAAGGGGAAACAAAGGAGGAGGCTACAATGCTTGATAAGAAATGTACTCATTATCTTGCTCATGTAATTTTAGCCCCTCTGTACAGTATTTTCACAATAAAAAAAAACTAATAATGAAAATCTGACTGCAGGAGTTACTACTTCCATCCTAATAAAGGAAGACAAGTAATCAAAAATTAAAGCCCATTTAAAGGTTCTTTAACTCATAGAAAATAAAATGTTAGCAGATATAAAAAATGACATCTGGTCTACCACACACACACACACACACACACACACACACACACACACACACACACACACCACACACACACACACACACCACACACACACACACACTATATACATGTATGTATACACACACACATATGCATTGGTCCAGCCTACATGTGCATAATGACTGCCATTGGTAGCATTCATGCTAAGGTTCATAAAGCGTGTACCCATTGGCTTCTTGTTTAGATTTTGTTTACTTTTCTTTAATTAACAAATTAATTTTTGACACATGTGCACCATTTTGAGTAATAGTGACAATGTTTAGATTCATAGAGGTTCACAGTACACTGGGCAGGCAAATGTGGGCATCAGGTTTACTAAAGGGGATGACTGATGTGTGAAGTGCAGAAACAGTAATTCCATGACTTGGATCAGAAAAGGCATCATAGTGATCGCAACTCACACATAAAGTCATGGAGGATAAAGTGATATTCACCACAGTCTTCAGAGAAGGAAAGAATAAGAGGCAAGGAGGAAAATGCATTAAAGAATCAGAGCAAACAAGTACAGCAGAGGGACATGCATGAAATAATATGGTTCTCTGATAGAACTGTGGGCCAGGCAGTATGTCTCCGCTACCCGAGTGTGTGTAGACTCCTCACCTCCAGCTGTGTGAATGGCACTCATCTCTACCCTGAGGAAAGGAGTTAATGGACAGAGGGCTTCTACATTTTGCTGGATAATGGGACTCCTTGTGCTTTGGGTGCTTAGTTTCATTCCAGAGTAAAGACATATTCCTAACAATGACAGATGGCATTTCCCATTCTTATTGCTTATCTCTTTATATATTGCTTATCTCTTACTCTCTTTATATACATAGGCCATTCTTTTCTTTATTTTCCCCTTTAGAAGAAAAAACTCATCTTGCACAAAAACATCATCTTTGTTATCTTTATATGTCCTGGTTGTCCATGGTGATTTTAATGTACCATTTAAAAGTGACAGTATGTTTTAATAGCATAGTATGCCTTTTGCTCTTGCAAAAACATCACATTATTCAATGTATACAACTGCAAAAGGATATGACTCTTATATAATTTGTGTGTCCTGATGGTGTGTTATTAATGTGTGCACTTTATAAGGGTATAATTTTGTAAGCAATTTTCCATAAAATTGTTATAAGTGTTATAAATTTGAGATAATTTGGCACAATATTCATTTAACCAAATTACATCACTAATAACATCTCTTCATTTGTAAATACCAGTTCAGACTGACATTACAAATTTGGGTACGACATTGAGCTTTGTGGACTCATTCAGATATTGCTGTGTAATTTAGGATGAGGAAAAACCTCTACTCCCATAAATAAGCCAGCTTTGTTCCTCTGGATAGAAAAGTACTTACAAGACACTTTTGAAGCAAAAGCTACTCTATTCCATAACATATTAAAATACTAACAATGTTTGATTTTGATAAGCCATAAGGTAACACGATGTATCAACATAGTTGATAGATTGGTGCTAAGGTAGTCAAGAATTGCTTGTTGGCTTGGCTTTCTTATAGCTTTTCTGTGGCTTTGGCCAATGTTTAATACTTTAATAAATTTGAGTTTCCTCATGGATTATATGAAGATAATGATATTGGACTGGATCACAAAGCCTTTTTGGAACATCAATCCATCATCGTTGATCTTCTTTGGTAATTGATTATGGTCTATCCTTCCCTGTTAAGGTCCAAATATCTTGTCTCCTCAAATACATTACTAAGTCATCCAAGCCATGACATATGATTATCCATTCTTGCATTTCCAGAACAGCTCAGAAATCATTGCACATTAGTGACTATCACTGTGGCATCGCAGAAGTTGGTGTTTAGGCCCTGGCCCACCAATCACTATTTCAGTGTCCTTGAGGACTTTCCTTCTCCTCTGTGCAAGGTGTTCTGGTGTGGTCCTCAACTATCCTGAACCCAAATTTCCTTTTTTAATCCATATCCATAGGTGAAAATGATAATGCCAAACGTCCTAAAGGTGAGGTGGAAAAGCTCAGTGAGAGGACAGCCAAGGACATAAAGTACTGAGCAAAGTTAGATCTTCAAGAACACTGAGTACATAGCTT